CAATGTTTACATGATTTCATCAATTTCTTTTCGTTAAATAATTATGCGAAAAACTCGTGACAGGTGTGACAAAAATTAGTATATGCCACGCGGGAGTTTGCGATGACATTTTGATTTGGGGTTATATTACCCTCGTCAAAAATGTGATCGCAAACTCCCTCGTAGCATAATATACTATTTTTCACCTGGAGCCAAAGGGTCAGATCTTGGATTTTTCCAGGGGGAAAGACGACTTTCGCCAAAATCAAATTTTTTAGCCGGGTGAACGTTGATTCCAATGATTTAAGCGACGGGCTATTCAGAATTCTCATAAGTATGTAAAAAAAGTGAAAACTGAAAAAAAAAAATTTTCACCTCCAGCCAAAGGGTCAGATGTTCGATTTTTCCAGGGGGAAACTCGACTTTCGCCAAAATCGAATTTTTTAGCTGGGTGAACGTTGATTCCTATTATTTAAGCGACGGGCTATTCAGAAGTCTCAAAAGTATGTGGCAAAAGTGAAAACTGAAAAAAAAAATTTTTCACCTGGAGCCAAAGGGTCAGATCTTGGATTTTTTCAGGAGGAAAGTCGGTCAAAAGGTCACAAGGGTCACGAGGGCCAAGGTGTCAAATCTTGGATTTTTCCAGGGGGAAAGTCGACTTTCATCAAATTTGAATTTTTTAGCCGGGTGAACGTTAATTCCAGCTATTTAAGCGACGGGCTATTCAGAACTCTCAAAAGTATGTGGAAAAAGTGAACACTGAAAAAGTTTTTTTTTCAAATTCTCAAAGGGTCAGATTTTCCGTTTTTCCCGGGGGAAAGTCGACTTTCGCCAAAATCGAATTTTTTAGCCGGGTGAACGTTAATTCCAGCTATTTAAGCGACGGGCTATTCAGAACTCTCAAAAGTATGTGGAAAAAGTGAACACTGAAAAAGTTTTTTTTTCAAATTCTCAAAGGGTCAGATTTTCCGTTTTTCCCGGGGGAAAGTCGACTTTCGCCAAAATCGAATGTTTTAGCCGGGTGAACGTTGATTCCAACTATTTTAGCGACGGGCTATTCAGAACTCTTAAAGGTATGTGGAAAAAGTGAAAACTGAAATTTTTTTTTTTCAGATTTTCTGGTTTATTACACTAGAAATAATGTTCGTTCTCCTTAAACCTTCGAATTGTTGTTAAACTAATCATTAATTGAAAAACAAGTACTACAATAATACATGGATAGAAATATTCAATAAAAATTACGTATCTTTTCCATAATTCCGGAGCGAAATGTGGTTGTAGGCAATTTTACGGACCTGTCACGGACTTTTTTCGGAGCCTTCCGTAATTTTTATCTGAATCTCCTGTGAAAAATTACGATACCGTCACTTAAATTTTCGAGTCGATTCCGTAATCGGTGAGTGAATTGTGAGTTGCGTAATTTTTACTGAACATTTCTCTCCGTGTGCAAAGACTGTTCTTTATATCAAATATTAGTTTGATAAGTTTACAATAATTAACATGTTACTAATTTGACTCATAATTTTATTCGATGATTCACAACAGGTAATTGAAATATAATTACAATCTTTCTTTTTTTTTCTTTCTATATTCCTGCAAATATTGTTGTGCTTTTACATTCATGCAAATTCAAAAATATTTTTTTAAGCACTAAATATTGATACTGTTTACAATAAATAACGCATCAATTTCAAAAAGAAATATTCTGATATTAAAACTATTAAAATAATAATTAGATATTAAATAAACTCGAGAGCCTCTCCCGACCAAAAGTTTACACACTCCATTAAATAACGTTCATAGAACTTTTTTTTGATACTAGTTGTTAAGGTTTGTAAATATTGTAAATACTTACCCGAGTCAAAATTTTACCGGGTCTCCCGACGTAGTTTCAACGTTTTAAACCTACATTGCCTTGATGTTCAAATTCTCCGCCAAATTTTTACCGTATTTTTAACTTATCTCAACGTGAAGGTCCATGAACGTTGAAAAACACTCAATATCCACCGTATATTAAACGTACTCTCAACGTTAATGACGTTTGTTTTCTGTTAAAGTACATTGTAAGTTTCGACGTCCACATTTGATTGTATCAAGGCCATTATTGACGATAATTAAAAAATTCATTACCGTGTTAAAGACTCACGTAAGTATATTAGCAGTGTTAGTACATTAATAACATTCGTTCGAAGTTCAAACAATCGTGCGTCTGAAGGGTGAGTTGGGTCCAAGGGTCAGAAGGGTTAGTTGAGTATAAGGATCAATTGAGTATAAGGATCAATTGAGTATAAGGGTGAGTTGAGTCCAAATGATTACGCGAATCTAAGGGTCAGATAAGTGAAAGTCTCAGTTGAGATTGAATGTCAGTTGAGTTTAAAGGTGAGTTGAGCCGAAGGGTCAAAAGAGTACGAAGGGTCAGGCGAATCCAAGGGTCTGTTTTGTAAGGGTCAGAGAATTAAAAACCTCAGTTGAGTTCAACTATCAGTTGAATTTAAGGGCCAGTTGTGTGTAAGGGGCAGATGAGTGCGAAGGCCCTATTGGGCCTGAGAGTCAGATGAGTCTAAGACGAGAATAAGGGTCAAATGAGTCTGAGGGTCAGATCGATTCTGAGGGTCACATGAGCCAAAGGTCATCTGACTTTTAGATTGAACTGGCCCTTAAACTCAACTCAACCTTTTATTTATCTGACCTTTAGATTCGCCTGACCCTTCGTACTCTTTTGACCCTTAGGCTCAACTGACTCGTAAATTTTCATGATCCTTCACACTCAACTGACCCTTAAATCCGCCCGACCCTTTGTAGTTATTTGACCCTTGGACTCAAGTGACTCTTAGATTCGCATGAATCTTCGGACTCAACTAATCCTTAGACCCATCTGACCCTTAAACTCAACTCAACCTTTTATTTATCTGACCTTTAGATTCGCCTGACCCTTCGTACTCTTTTGACCCTTAGGCTCAACTGACTCGTAAATTTTCATGATCCTTCACACTCAACTGACCCTTAAATCCGCCCGACCCTTTGTAGTTATTTGACCCTTGGACTCAAGTGACTCTTAGATTCGCATGAATCTTCGGACTCAACTAATCCTTAGACCCATCTGACCCTTAAACTCAACTATCACTGAGACACATCTAACCTTTGAACTCAACTCAGACTTCTACTTATCTGACCCATACTCAACTGACCCTTATATTCACCTGACCCTTTGTACCCTTTTGACCCTCAGATTCGTGTGATTCTTCGGACTCGGCTGACCCTTATATCCATCTTGCCCTATGCTGAAGGTTTAACGCTTATTGATAAAAAAAACCCATCTGGCCGCCATACTCATCTGACCCTTAGATTCATTTGGCCCTTAAACTCAATTGACCCTTAAACTCAACTGACACTTGAACACAACTGATCCTTAAACTCAACTGAGCCTTTTACTTATCTGACCCTCACATTCGCCTGACCCTTCGTACTCTTTTGACGCTTAGGTTCAACTGACCCTTAGATTCGCGTGATCCTTCAGACTCAACTAACTCTTACACTTATCAGATCTTTACACTCACTGACTTTTATATGAAGGGTCCGACCCTTAGACGCCTTAGACCTATATGGACTCTATTTCCCTCTCATCTCCTCCCCCTACTCCTTCCCTCTTAATTTCCTGTATTACGCTATGGGTTACTTTCTTTCAGTTTTTTCCTATTTTTCTTTTTATTAGTATTGCTTATATAAATCCGAAAAAAGTACAACTCGCCATAAGCAACTGCAGCTCAGAAGCATACCGGGATATCCTGCGATCACTCAGCTTGAGCAGTAGCGAGTAAAACCAGAAAAAGGATGGGTAACCGAAAGGGAACACGGCAGAACTACAATCAGGGATATCTCGAGAACCAATAGACCGATCCGTTTTTTTCTTTGTTTCCCATTTTTGTTTCACCGAGTTAATAATATTTATATTTTTGCCATTCTTCCACCGATTAATTTATGCAAGATTTAATCAATTAATCGATGTTAGAATGGAACTGGTAGTATGAAGAGGGAAGGGGGGAAGAAGGAAGGAAAGAATGTACGGTGGAGGAACGTTGGGGATACATTTAGTTTCAACCTAATTTCAACGTACAATCTGGAAAAAATGGAAAAACGGGACGTTATTTACGTCGGAAGTAGGTTAAATCGGTGCAATTGAGCCTGTACACTGGACAACGTACTTTCAATGTCCTAATAAACCCACCAGTGGACCTTGAAACTACGTTGGGAGACCCGGTCAAATTTCGACTCGGGTACTGTTATTCTTGAATAAAAACATGGTTAAACAAAAAAAAAGGAGAGCACCCGATGCATAATCGGAAAGTCCAGGTTCAAATCCCGGTTTGAAATATCCAATTTTTTCAGTAAATTTTTCTTCTAAACTAATATAGAATATTGCCCTGGTTCCCTCCCTACCGACTCCAAAATTCTATTCAACAATATCCTGTGACGTCACAAGATGTGGAACGCTATATAAACTCTTGTCTTGTGCGAAAAATGATTGCCCTAAGCAGAACAGCGGATAGGAAGGAACGAGAGTATTTTCATTTTATGGCTGCAAGTTATCAGAAAGTTGCCCTTTCGAGGAGCAACGAGTGAGAATCTACTGTACTGCGAAATCTGAATGGTCAAAATGCACGATGCTACCCGCCCGAGTTTTTAACCGGGAACCAAGAGCATCTGAACCAACGAACATACTCACTGCGCCAGTCTAATGAGCGATGTGGATGCAATAATTTTGGAAGATCTTATGCTACTTTTCCATGCGACTCCCTTAATAAATAGGTTGTCATATCCAAATTTTGTGACTGAATGTTTTCCCAAATAGAACACTAATTTTTACTAGAATAGTTTCTCCGTGCAGCCTCACGTTGCATACTATACATCACATGTGTTTGTCTGTTAGCTACAGTATTTTAGTAGAGCCAAGAGAACTTAAGGTATTGACGCAGAAAGAATTTTATTGAAATACAGTTTATACTTTAACATTCCGAAAAGTATTGGCTGGAGAAAACGAAGTGCAGTCTCTGACGTAGATCACCCGTAGTATTCCAAGAGATGTAGCAGGGGATCATCCTCATTTACTCCGGTTATGCGCCATCATTCATCTAGGAAAAACGAAATAAGTAATCAGAAATGGAGTTTCAAGGCGGGGTACTTCATGAATATATTTTGATCTAATGATAGTCATACGTATTTCTTATGCATGCACGTGAACATGGCGTGGGCTGTCTCGCATTCATTGGCTCCCTCTAAAATTTGGAAATAAATTTTAACGATGAATTTTCATTTTCAGGCCATAATTTATGATTGAATGGAACCGAATGCATACTCTCATTGTGGCATGCGTCGATTGCCGCAATAATTGTCTCGCGATGAGGCTCATCACTTGGAACATTTGCTTTACTGCCTTCCGCATCCACAGTACCGTCCTCCGTCATCTAAATCAAATAGATAATTATTCTTATTCTGTTCAAATAAGTGATTAAGCATATACGTCAAGCAGATCTTAATTACTAACCATTCGAAGACCTTTCAGGATGCATGCAATGAAACATTTGACTTTTTCATCAGCTTTGGATCCCCCGTCCTCATACAGGGTTCCTACAACATGTGGATCCACACCGGTTTTCTCGATACATTTTTCAGCTTCAGCCAGAAATGTGTCGTTCATGTCTTTTCCTAAAGTCTATTCGTATAAATGCATTAGTAATTTGACGATATATATGAATGAATTTCGTTCATGATATTTGTCACTTACACATAGAAAAACCTAAATTTAATCCCTCACGAACGGTGCCCTTCTGTTACTATCAATTTACGTCTGGTGATTTTTTGTCCGTCGTGAAATAGTATATTGTGTCATAAGGACTGTAAGCGAAGGTTTGTGAGGAGTGTGAAGTTTGCGACACGAGGCGCCTGCGGCGAGCCTCGTCTCTGATTTACCGACACCGAGTGCTGCAAACTCACACGACTCACAACCGACGCTACAGTCCGAATGACACATATTATTTTTTGTCACGCAGGCCCGATGAGGTTGGGGGGGGGGATGGGGGTGCACGAGCGGGGTCCAGGGGCCGCAGCCCCCGGCGGGGGGGTTTGGTGGGGCGTGTGGACCCCCCCCCCCCCCCCCAAAAAAAAAAAAAANTTTAAAAGTATGACGTCCTTTTCAATTAAATCAAAAATTTATAATCCATGAATTCCTTTAAAGATATGTAAAAATCTTGTAAATGAGAATGGAAATCTTTCTCCTGCTGAAATGAAAATTGCATCTAATCGAAAAATGAGAGGATTTCGTTATTTTTCTACATTTATTTTCAAGAAAAATCAAACACGTGAACATTTATAGGTTTTCATTGCCTCTCTAATCGCTTCTTTTCACCTCTTAAAATACTCACATTTTTTCATTACATGTGAACAAAAATATATGTTTTATTTCAAATACATATTTGATGATAAAATGAAACAAAAAAAAAATTTCTTGATCGAAATAATGTTTGATTTGACTAGAATATTATATAAAATCACGACATTTTTTGGGCTTGAAGCCTAGGAAAAATCCCCATCGGGAAGTTGATGAAGTCATGGAAGAATATTTGAATTGGGGGATTCAGATTTCTTATCCGCAATTTTCCTTGTTGGAACCGAAGAAATTAAATCCTGAACAATTCGTAAAATGGAGATAGATTTGTCCATTTGGATTGAGTGGAATGTGTGGCTGTTGGTTCTCTCCGAGTATCTGAACTGCAGGACGAACGAGTGAAGCTGCTGAATGGAATTGGGTATCGAGTCTCATGGTCTTTGGAGCTGGAGGGGGTTCTGTGGCTTTTGAACATGATGGACGTGCCCCCATCAGGCTTGAAGGAGCTGAGGGGAGAGATGAAGTTTTGGTGGAGTTTTTCGGGGTGGTAGAGGTACGGGACATTTTCGAGGTGATCGACTTGCTGATTTTGGAAGAAAGCTTGTTCATCTGAGCTCGACTAGGATCGTAATATCTCTGTGCCACTGGTGGGGATTTCCACTCTCCCAGTTTCATGAGAGTGAGAATGTCCATACCCGACATTCTGAATTCAATGTAAAACACATTCGGTCAATATTTTTCTAATAAACAGTCTCCGGTGATTTTAAAAAAATCGAGCAAATTCTTCAAAAAAAGTGCTGTTAAAATGATCATAACTCGTTATGGGGTTTATGGGCCCGCTCACCGTCGGTCCCTCGAAATTGAAGACACATGTGCGCCTGTCTACCTCTTTTAGGGACGTCGATAGCAGTTACAGCCGTTTGGGCCCTTTGGGGCGCAAATACACTGTACATTTTTTTTTCATATAGCATATGAAAAAACGAAAAAGATCGTTTTTTATTTATTACAATCCATCAATTTTGTTCGCAAGATATGATTTTTCAAAAATTTGAGCTTTTGACCCATGTTGTAGACAAGCAATTTATGTTAAAGAAACGAAAATTTAGGGAAAGCATGTATTTATCTAGTACTTGACTGCGAGCATGTCAATTCAGGATTCTGAGAACCCGAAAAATTCAGGGGGGCTGAGTTAACATGGAATGTCCCATATTCGTACTAGGTAATGAATGTAAGAGATACAGCAAAGGTTTTCAACCCTATATTTGATGCAAATTCAGTACTGTTATGTCCAGAGAAGGATTTTAGCGTCGAATGGACATGTTTTAATTGTCACATCAAAATCAGAGCTAAAATTATTGAATTTTATAATTATTGGACGACGCAAAGTTTTATACTCTTACCTTTTTTTAAAATATAAGGGAAAAAGGGCTTGATTTAGGGATAGGGCTTGAGTTGTGACGAATTTCTAATCAAGACATTTGGAGTTGTAATGGAAATCAAATTTGAATTTAAATATATTTTGTATAACTACTCGGTTTACAAAAACATAAGCGTGATTTTACAGAAATCTATGTAGCTAAAATTTCTATCCCTGGAATGATCTGAAGGATTCAAATTTGGGTTTACAAATTTTGTTACTCACAATTCGGTCTGTTATTTATAAATTATTCGATGTATTTATAGATCCCTGGGTAAATCCGTAATTTCCTCACTAGCAATTAGTCGCGCTAAAAGGCTATTATGGATACTTTCACGGAAACACTTTCTTCTACTCGTTGATATTTTAATGAATTTTTGACAGTTGAAGTTGAAGATTTTAAGAGTTTGGTTGAGACTGTCCACAACGCGTCACAATAAACGAATTCCTTATTTGCAAGAAAAGTCACCACTCTCGGTTAAAGAAGTTTTATTCCCGGATAATTTCAATTGTTCGTAACTTACTATTAATTCAGTACTATCCCGTGTAATCGCAGGAAGGATTGAAAAACCGGACCGATTAAATGAACTATTTCCACCAGAATTGTTACTGCTCCGTCGCTGCTTCAAGACTGCTTAATTTTGGTTTTTCTGACATTTTTATATGAATTTTGGGGTCACTTATCACATGGGCTCCGAGTCCATTTTTAATTGGTGGAAAATGTATGACTTTTCCCACTCTTTTGATTTTTATGGGGAAGTAGTTCATTCGGTTTTTGGGGTTTCAATTAATCGGTTTTCAATCGTTCCTTCGCGTGCGAATCTTAGTATTGGGTAATTGGGGCATGCTGAGTGGGCCATTTCATCAGTTTTGAACTCGATTCCGTCTTTGAAATTTTTAATCGAGTTCAAGTGATGAAATGCACTCAATTTAGTTTACAATTGTTGGTTTGGTTCTTAATGATTTCACATAAAATTATTCTAGCCTTAAAGTTTCTAGTACAAAATTTTGGACATTACAGTACTAATTGATCTTGTGTTGGGTTTGTTAAGTGTTGAATCGTCCTATCATCGTTCCATGAATTGTAGAGTCACTATACAACATTTTTAAAAACATGTTTGTATGTATGTTTGTGTGCATGTGTGTGTGTGTGCGTGGATATTTTTGTGCCTACACGGAGAGAAATACTCAATAAAAATTACCAGAAAAAAGACGTAAAAATTACGTTTCGAAACGTAATCTGAGTGCGAAGTAAAATTCAATAAAAAGTGTCAATCGTCACGTAAATTCTACGATCTCTTCTGTAAAAATTACTCATCCGTCCGACGCCTCACGGCTAGCCATGAGTAACCGTGAGGGGGAGATTTTAACAACACGTTCCGTAATTTTTCCGGAACTTTTCGTAAAAATTCTTAAACATCCAAGAATTTTCATGTTCTGAGGCATAATAAGTCTTGAAGTTTCTGTTAGATTTTACAACTTCCAGAAAAATTACGTGACTTTTTCGTATTTTTTCGGTGACAGAACCGAAAATTTATTGAACGTTTTAGATTTATTCTCTTATATTCCTATAGAAATTCACTGAAAACGATTCTCGCTTGCGGATTACGTGAAATGTTCCGCAATTTTTCTTGAATATTTCTCTCCGTGCATGTGAATTAAATTTTGTACCATGATTTCTCCTGAACAAATGAGCCGATTCAATTTTTTTTTTAATGATGGATCGTTATGTAACATAGAACTGATTAGTTTATGGAAACGATTGTAATTTTACACGAAGAAAATAAAATAGTCAAGATGGCTGTGTCGAAATCCGCACATAGTAAACATTACCCGGCATTATACCAAAGTTGTCCAAGTATTACTATGGACATGGTAATGACTACCATGGGAGAACGTAATGGTTACTATGGGGCATAGTTAGCTTCTTCATGGTAATAGATACTGTGGGCATATTAATAATTACAATTTTACATAATAGAGGCCCCTATGTTACGGAAAATATCCTATAACACATAATGAAAGTCTAAATAATTAAATACCATCAAGGAATGAAACATGAGTAGATCAATGTTAGACACAGAAATATCATTAATTCAAGAACGAGAATTTTGTTGTTGTAAGAACCATCGAAAAGAGAAACTATGTTTTTAGATGAAATAATGGATTTAGTCAGACAGCTTCTAATGAAGCCCATTAAAAACATTAAATTCAATTGTCAGTTGCATTTTTATTCATATCCAATGAATAGTTGTATAAAAACAGCAAATGTTTTCATCATGTATGAATACAAGTAAAGACTTTATTAGATAGAAATGGAATCACTGTTTAGAGGGCGAAGGCAGAGAATTTATTGATATATAATAATTTTGTTTGAATCAAAAAAATTGTTTATTCATTTGTAATTAATTGTCTGCTTCAAATGAATGCACTATTTATTCCATATAAGTGAAGCTTTGTTATTTAAATAAATGTATAATATATAATATAGAATTTAATAGAGAAATTTCAAATAAAGGGTTTCATTTGTTTTTTTTTTAAGAGTTTGAGCCTTAGGCGTCTTCGGTTTATGAACGCATCACGAGGCAATCGTAAATTATAAGCGGTTATTTTAGAAATGCTTCCTATGTTCATAGGGCCATTTTCTATTCACATGGCGACCATTTTTATGGACATGGTAGGCATTCCGGTGTAACATAGTAAGCATTACTATGGAACATAGTAAACATTACTATGGAGCGTAATGAGCATTTTCGTCACTCGGCCCGATAAACGGCGCTTACTCGGGCTCTGTCGAGAGGGGGTAAAGAGAGTTTACCGCGGCACTTGAATAATCGGTGCTCCAAGGAGGGTAAATGAGACGCTCGGTGCTCCAAGGAGGGTAAATCTCACTTACCCATCCTAGGAGCGATAAAGTGGGCGTCACCATGTGCCCTGACGTTCCCCCCACTTGGGCATGCGCTCTGCGTTCGGGTAAACGTATAGTCGGATGAGCTGTACAGCGCCTCTAGCGGCCTTCTCTACAACTTAACCCACTAGTGGTAGCCATGTTGTTGTGTGTCATTGAGAAGATTTATCATTAGAAAAAAGTCACTCTCCGAGTTTTTGTTCAATTTAAAGTTGATA